GAACAAAAAACTCTCTGATAATGATATCTAAATTGTTGGTTGTATGGATGCTAAACCAAGTCTGCCATCTATCTATTGCTTACCACGTCCAAACCAACAAGATGCTAGAATCTGCAGCCAGATGAAAGAAGTGTAGACAACGTTAAACAACAAACTCAAGTGTCCTCTTCTAATGTGTGTCAAGATTGAAGGTGGAGGCGATGTCCCTAATGTTTATGTCCCACATCCAACCTCTGAGGTTGAAAGCATGATGAGATCAGCAGGAGGGGATAAAAAAAATGTGATGCATTGCGCATTACTTGTACGAAGATCCAAGCTGCTCTCTAGGAAGCCTGAAATCCAGGGGAAACATGTTGTAATGTTGTCTTTTGTCCAGAAGAAAAATGAAGCCTAAAAGTGCATGGAAGGGTGGAAAAGCTGAAGAGTGTGCGGTTGAAGTGAAAGAAGTGATGGAAATGAGTGGTGACGATGCACATAATGTGAAAGCTAAAATTGAACTTGATATTGTTTGCAAGGGGCTTGGTTAGATGTTCCGTGCTAGAGGGGCTTCTACAACTTCTCGAGCAGCTACGAAAGGGGGCCGGAGTCTCACGCCTTGACCGAAGAAACTATTCAGAGAGGGCGGGTAAAACAAGAACCCGCAGCTAACAAAACAGCTATGTCTCAAGCTGTACAACCATATGCCCAATGCCAGGTCCAGAAGATTGAAAGTGCGGTGGAGCATGAACCTTGCACATGTAAGCAATCTCCTTGTTCCGAGTTGCTCAGCTAGTCATCAGACTTTCAAGAGGGCAATCTTGCAGCTCTCGTGCTTCCTCAAACACAAGCTAAACCTTTTGTGAGGGTGACAAATTTTCAGCTGAAGCGTTTTATGGCCATCGTGTCTCATGTTTTGTGACTAAAGCCCATGACAAATTGTGAAAACAGAACCTAAAGGTGCAAATAATGGCATCTGGAAAGTCGATGTGAGCGTGACAGGCATGCAAGATAATTTAATGTACATTAATATTATTTTTTGTACATTAATATGTATAATATAATATTAATGTATTAATAATTTATGTTTGCAAATACATATTAATGTACATTATATGTTTGATTTATATTATATGTATTAATATTTATAAAATATTATTTTTTTCTTTAATTTTATTATTTTATTTAATTTCTTTAAGGCTATTTAAATTATATATATATATATATATATATATATATATTTAATTTTATTATCTTTAATATTATACAAATATCTTATAATGCTACTATATCTAATATATCATCTGAATTTTATATAATTTTATTTATTATTAGAAGTGAATTTTACTATATACAAGATACATCTTGCTTTAAAATACCTTTTTTATATATTCTTATATAAAATTGATTTAAAAATAAAATTATATGTAATAAAAATAATACAATAGAATTCAATTGAATTACTTTATATCTACTATATATATATATATATATATATATGTATTTATAACTCAAAACTAAGGTGTTTTATGCATTTCTAAAGTTATATATCTACAATATATAGATATAGATATATATATATATATATATATGTATTTAATAACAATATTTAATACTGTCTAAAACAGTGATGAGTTACAAGAATCTTCTTAGAAATAAAGGAATTATATACATTGAGTGTTGTTGTGAATGGCAACAAAAAAACATTGTTTGAAGCAAGAGTGATGGTTGAAAATTGAGATTGAGAGGCAGTCCGTGAACATAATTCAGCATCCAGGTCTATGAAGATAAGTGCGGGCGTAATGAGGAATGGGTTCTGAATTCCCAACCTGCCGACCTCCAAGCTGCCCGGCTTCCAACCTACTTGCCTTCCCAGTTCTCCTCTGTTCCGTCCCTTTGTTCTCATAAATTCGATTAGTGGTTGAGATTGCATCTGAGCAACAATTGCAATCCAGCAATGGCGGAACCAGTTAATTGAATAGAGAGGTTTCTGCGACACGTAGTGACAAGGCTCACAAGATCAAAACTAGCCCTTCATAGAATTATGTGACAGAAACCTCACTACTCAATGGACTACCTCCGCCATTGTGGGCAGTCAAATTGCAGCTGCCGCTCAAATGCAATCTCAACCACTGATCGGATTTTTCGGAACGGAGGAAGGTAATATAAGTGAACTAAGAGGGTGGGCAGATTGGAGGCCAAGCAGTTCGGAAGGAGCTAGGTTGGGAATTCAAAATCCATTCCTAATTAAGCCCACACTGATCCACATTCACATGCATGGGTGCTGAATTTTGCTTAGGGGCTGCTTCTCCTTCAACCATTACTCCTACTTTAAACTTTTTTTTTTTTTTTTTTTTTTTTTTTACATAATACTTTTGTTGCTAGAAAGAATTTTTAAAACTCAAAAATATATTCTTCTCAAACATAGATATTTTATACACAAGAATTTATAAAATTAGTCTTTTTAAGATTTTTTTTTAAAAATTATAATAGTAATAAAATTAAAATTTTAAAAATAATTAATTGATTAATTATTGATATAAAATAGCATATTAAGCATTATTTTACTTTTAGAACTCTAATAGTTCTAGAAGCACCTTTATACATTTACAATAACATTGTATTGATTAAGATAATGTGCAAAAATTACTAATTTAAAATTGTATTTTTTAAAAAATATATTTATAAATAATTACAAGTAAACATACATGTTTTTGTTGCCAAGGTATATATCATTTCTCCTACAAAGAAAATAATCAAGGATGAATCCTTATTTACAAAATATTTTTGTTTGAGAAAAAAATAATGAGTAAATTTTATGAGTTGCAAGAATTCTTCTTAAAAACAAAAGTATCATGTGTTTGTTGTGTACAAAACTTAAAAAAAGATATAAAGTAAAAAATATAAAGTAAAAAATAAAAAAATAATTCAAGCAAGAGTGATGGTTGAAAAGTGGAAACGAGAAGCAGCCCCTCAACAAAATTCAGCACCCATGTACATAACTGTGGATCAGTGCAGGTCCAGTGAGGAATGGATTCTGAGTTCCCAACCTACCAACCTTCTAACTGCCCCGCCTCCAACCTGCCAGCCTCTTGGTTCTCTACGTTCCCTCCCTCCGTTCCCAGTAATCCGATTGGCGGTTGAGATTGCATCGGAGTGGCAGCCGCAATCCGACGGCCCAAGATGGGGGGATCAATCGATTGAATAGGGGGATTTCCGCGACAGGTAGTGACGAGGGAACTAGCCTGATTGACTGGCCCTCGTCACTACTTTTTATTTTATACTTGGCTTCCTTATCCTAATCTTGTCTTCAGAGCTCACATATAACCTCTCTTGTGTAAAATTGCAAAGCTTTGTAAAAATACTTTTTGATTATATTGTGACATTTTGGGACAACCACTTGTTTTGTTCTGCTTCAAAGAATATCTTTATAGTGTCATACACAATAGCGCTCAATGTACATGATACTATCGATTCCAGGAAGAATTTCTACATCTCAAAAAACTCACTCGTTAATTTGTTTTCTTCAGCAGGGATATTTTATAAACAAGGGACTCAATATTGATTTAACTTGATTCGAAATTGATTCCCCATGGGAGTGGTGCCCAGAGGAGGGTGGCTTGGACTCGTGCCCCCCCCCCCCTGCCCTTCGGGCGTCGAGAGTCGTGAAAGCCCAAATTTTAAATAAAATTAAAAGGAAAATTAGTACTTGGTCTTCAGTGGGCTTGTCTCTCCAACCAACAAATATTGAGTTTTCTTCGACGATTAACATCAAGTGGGACTGGGGTCCCTGTGGGGCTCCCACATCAGCAGGATTCAACAACTGGTGTTGAAATAGAATCTTCGACCAGTTCCTCCACCAACCTCCATTCTTGGGTCTTCAGTCTAGGATTTCTTGAGGACATGCACCCATACTACACAAGGTGTCGGCCACTTGCATCAAATGCCTTGTTGTGAATATATTATTATGCTTTTACATGTATAGATTTAGTTTTGATTATTAGTATAAAACCCTGAATTTGCTAGCTTTTTTTTTACCTTGTTTTTATTGTGGTGAATGATTTTACGAGGCTTTGTAAGCGTAACCAATGAACCTGTTTCTATTCAAGTGTTACAAATATACATTAAATATGTTCTAAACGAAACTATTTACTATGTGATGCACCAGGCTTACCTCCTTCTCTTAGTCTCTTTTACCTTTTTTCATTTTATTTGTTGCACAGATGGACATGAGTAGCAAATCAGGAATAAAAACGAATAAAATATATATGTAACAGTATATACACATGAGAGTTTATTTTCTACACAAGAAAAATGAATCAAGCACAATTAGGTAAATTATGAAAAGATTAGTTAAAGCTGAATTATTTGCACAAGTCATGCAAGTGTTTTGTTTTTTCCTTTTCCACACAATACTTTTGGATTAAAACAAAGCATGTTTCTCAATTAAACGATTCCAGGAATGTCTTAATCACGTTATGCTGGAACCAATATATTAATTGAACACTGCAAATCCTGTTCGAAAGAAATGGTCTTCCCAGCTCCCTTTTAAAACTATGGAGATGACCACGCAGAATTTCAAAGGATGCAATCTTTAGGAGTCTCGCAGCTGTTGGAAGCCACGTCCCACTAGCAAGTCCTGATCATGCATGGTCAGCTGGCCTCATGCCTGACTCGTGGGCCGGGATTTATCCATATCTGGCTTGCATGCTTGCAGCAGTGCTCTACATTCATCACAAGAGAGGATGACAAATAGTCGGCAAACGGTCTATTCAGACTGAAGGATGGACACGTGTGTTCTGCTGGCCAGCATCCAATTTCAGGGGTAGCCGGAAAAATGGGTCTCCCAGCAATAAATCAACGCTGGACCACAAGCCTCCCATTTTGGAAGATTCCAACGAGGATGGCGTGAGTGCGGTGGTCAGTTCCGTGACTTTGGATTGAACAGTGGCAGATACTCTCACGCATGTTGTGTAGCCGCCGTAGATGTGTCCGATCGTGTCACGATGAGGTTGACGCAGGAACGGTGGAAGCGGAAGCCGAACGCTAGGTCCGGGAACAGTTCCTGCACGAGGGGGGGTCTATAGAATCTCTCCCTCTCTTGCTCCGCCTGCCTTCTCTACTTTCTCCTCGGCTCTATTTCTCTGGTGTCTTCTCTCTCTTTCTTTCGTTTCCTCTCTTCTGTTTTTCGATTCTACTCGCACCCATCCATCACTAGAAGTTGGTCGCTTAAGCCAGGAGAATCCTTTTTGGGTTGTTTTCTTTTGATTTCAACAGATTTATTTTAGTTCTGATGCTGATGTTCGCTGGATCTTGTCAGCTCTGGCATCGGTTTTTCTGCAATCAGTCTGCTGGATTGGTGGATTTTCTCTGGTCGGAGCCTCTATGTGTTAGCTTTCCGACCTGTGAGTGTGCTGCTCAACACTGGTGGACTCACCGTTGTTTGTTAGTCGGTACTTTGTTGGGGGCCATTGAAATTGAAGCATCGAGGGGATTGGAGTGGATGCTTGATTGAAGGAAGGTCGTCAAGTTTGTAGCATTGTCAAAAGGTGAAATCACTCTACTTTCTTTTGCTACATCAATTCTTTAGTTGTCTTGTTTGCAGTACACAGTCTAGTTGTGTTTAGAACTAGTCACGGAAACGGATAGTAACGTTGCTGATTAGTAAATAATTTATACTTTAATTTAAGTAGAATCTCCATATTAGAGACATAGATATTTGATGTTTGGTGGTTGGACGATAGAGTTTCCATCTAATTTTAGTATTCATGTAGTAAAATTAAACCAAGTTCAACATTTAGATTTCAAAGCACTAGTTATTTTTCTCTTTTGATGGCCTTTATAATTTCTTCAAAATATATTACAATTTTGTGGGGGTTTTGAATGCTAATATTGTACTAAATAAAATGAATAGACAAAGCATTAGTGAATATATAATAATTGTAGTCTTATGGACTTTGTCTTCTATACTAAACAAATAACATAAATAAAAGAGTCCACAATTGAATAAGAAACTCAATAACAAAGTTTTTTTTTGTTGGAAGATAGTTGAGTATGAGATTGTAATGCCTTGTTTGTGCTTTTGTAACTAATCTTATTTTAATAAAATTATAGGTCGAAAGTAATTGTGAATGATGTATGTGAATTTAATTTAAGTTGTTTGCATGTAGATGGATAATGCAATGTGCATGTGCATGTGCAGGTGATATATTTGTGATAATTTCTTTAAAAAAATGGAGCTTTCTTTGGACATGGATTTTTCAGAATTAGGATTTGGAAGCATTCAAAATCAAAATGAAGAACCTTTCAATGCAAGACAATGTAAGAACTTGTTGCTTACATTAGAAAAAAGATGGAAAGACATAAAGACAATTATTGGACCTCATGTTCATATTTTTCTACCACTATTGGAAGATTTATTTCGAATTATTGTGAAGGCAAAGGGAGTGGTGGCAAGTTGTATAGGAAATTGGCAACTTATTGCATTATTGCAAAGGTCAAACAAAGAAACATTTCGAGAGATTCTTTTAGAATTGGAGTGGTTTTACAATATGCTTTGTGAGGTTGCTAATAAAAAAGGACTTTGTACAAGATTAGAGCGTGAAAAGTGTGTTCAATTTGATCCATGCAATTTGGAAGAAATTGAGCAAGATGAAGAAGAATTATATGCAAGATTACGAAATGAAGCAAACAAGGCTTTTAATGATTCAAATGATTCAAAATTAATCAATTACATATTACAATGGCAAAGTTGCATTCAACAATATGAAAGTGGGGTTGTGGATAAAATGAAACTTCCTTTGGAATTTCCTCTTCCAAACTTTGGAGAATGTCCCACAATCTTAAAGGGAGATAATTTTGTGGTTGTAAGTGTGACGACATGGTTGGGTTTCAAAAGTATCACAAAAACCATATCATTTGAAGGTCATCATGCAAATAACATTATTGAAAAAGAAGCTCATATCTTATCAAGTTTGAATCATCCCAATATCATTAAGGTGTTTTATTGTGGTTATTATTTTGAATCAAGGAATGTTGGAAAGTATATTATTGGTATGGAGAAAGGTAATACAAACCTTGCAAGCTTGTTATTTGAAGATAAAACTTTTGAATTATCATTGATGAGCAAAATTGACATGATGTTACAAATTGCAAGTGGAATGTGTTATCTCCATGATGTGAAGGTAGCTCATCGTGATTTGAAGCCTGAGAATGTTGTAGTAATGGACTTTGAAATTGAGAAAATAAAAAATGGAGGTTACTTACATTTAAAGTTGATTGACTTTGGTACATCCAAAGTTAAAGTGAAAGAATATGAAGTTCCTACAAGGGAGTGGCCATATGGAACACGTGGTTATATAGCTCCAGAAGCAATGAGGCCTAAGTATGGACCATTTGTGGAAATAGATGCCTTTAAAGCAGATGTATTTAGCTTTGGAATGATGTGTTGTGATATTTTGATACAAGATAGACATGATTTTGATGATAAGGATATTCCAAAAAATGTGAAAAGTAAAATGATGAGCTTGCAAAGCATCAATTGTCATAAAAACCTCATAGCAATAATCAAAGAGTGTTTGATCATTGAAAATCCTTCAAGAAGACCTTTATTTCATGAAATTTGTGAGAAATTGAAGGAATGCAAAAAAGTGATATTAGAAGAAACAATAGAAAATACATTAGTTGCATCAAATTCCAAGGTGCAAGTATGGAAGAAATGTTCATTGAATTGTATTCAATTGCCACAAATATGGAACATGCATACAATTTGGATATTTTTTGTGACCTTGTGTGAAAATCAAAGAAAATCCAATAATAATTATTTGAATGTGAGTTTCAATTAATTTTCAATCACATAACTATGTACTTTTATTTTAAAATATATTTGTACATGTGTATGTATATATAAGTATGTATGAATTGTAGTAGAATTAGGAATATGATGGATTCAATAATAATGTCTCACTATTGATGATCATGTGTTAATTTACAGATTTCCAATAATGTCATAAATTTCCAATCAAGTTTACAAATGAGAATTGTGGAGTTAGAAAAAAATTTTTTACAAAATGACATAGTTGGTGTAGTTGGAATACCTGGTATAGGAAAGACAACATCGGTAAGGAATTTCCACATTTATATTGATAGAAAAATAAGCAACAAAAACATATCTTCATTATATGGAAAGAATAGTAAGGTAGAAGCATCTTTTGATGATATATCTTCTCTACAAAATATAATCATGTGGGACTTGAAGAATGATTATTTGGTAGAATTAAACAAGATCTTGAAATCTTTGGATGTAAAAGATGAAGCAAAAGATCTCATTGAAGGAAAACAATTATTAGCAAAAGAGCTTCATATTAAGAATTATCTTTTAATTCTTGATGACATACCTAATTTTGAGGTTTTGCAACAATTGATAGATGTTACAATGTTTGATAAAAAAAGGAGCAAATTGATAGTGACAAGTCGCAAATCGGATGTTTTGAAAAACTATATAAGTGAAGGAGGTAAAATGGAATTACTTTCACTCACCAAAAATGAAGCTATGGAGATATTTTCTAAACATGCTTTTGAAGATGAATGTTCCAAAATACCATATTTAGATAAAATATCTATTGAGATAGTCGATGCTTGTTCAGGACATCCTTTGAGTTTAGAAATTGTAGGTTCTTCTTTGAATGGACAAACAAGAATTCGTGTGTGGGAACAAGCTTTGCAAAGACTTAAAAGAGCAATGATATGTCACAATTCTAATGACATTTGGACAAGACTAAAGCCTTATTTTGATGACCTCAACAATAAAGAAAAGACCATGTTTTTGGATATAGCATGCTTTTTTAGCAAAGATATATGGTCTGAGATTATTCCAAAACATACAATTATTCACTTTTATGAATATGAGATTGAAAATCCTAATAGCATTCTTCTAAGCTTAAAAGAAAAATCATTCATTAAAATTGATGAGTATGGAATCATAAGCATTCATGATTTATTACGTGATATGGGTCGAAGAGTTTCTAGAGAAGAATTTGATGGAGTAAGGAAATGGAATGAAAGTAATGAATCATTTACCAATTTTAATCATGAGGTATGATGTAGATTTTATTATTTCATCTATAATCATAGAATGCATAAATTATTGTATAATAGTACATGAAATTTATATTTGTGAACTATATGTTGATTAATATTGTGGATTTATTTTCAAATACTTAAATATAAATGTACATTGTACTGCAGGATATTAATAATGCTAGAGGCATTTGTTTTGTACAACATGGAAATTATTTAAAGTCCCATATTACTAAAAATATTCAATTACCATATATGTATTTATTGAGTTTTATGAAATGTACAAGTCTAAAGATGATAAATCCAATTATAGAACAATCTATTCAACTAAAGTGGTTGAGGATTCAATTTCTTGAAAAAGATTCCATGTTGATATTTGAAGATAATATGAAAGTATTTCAAGACATCATACAATACAAACATATGACAAAATTGGTTGTATTAGAATTAATTGGCTTTACATTTTTGAGATCATTTACCATAGATACATTTATTATGATTAATTTAAAAACTTTGAATTTGAAAAATTGTTCAAACCTCATAAATTTAGATATTATTGGAAAAACAAAAATAAGATTGGAAAATATTGATTTAGAAGGATGCACAAGTTTGGAAGATATTACAAATGTGGTTGAAAATGTAAAGACACTAAAGTATTTAAATTTGAAATTTTGTACAAAAATAAAAAGCATAGGTAATGAGGTACATCATGAATCTTCTCTAATTGAGATATATTTAGAAGATTGTAAAAGTTTGTATGAAATATGTGAAGCCTTTGAAAAGTTGACGAAACTTGAAGTATTTGAAGTCAAAAATTGTATTAATCTAGACAAAATACTTGCAAGGATGAATGGTCTAAAAGAACTAAAAATATTAAATCTAAAAGGAAGTAAAAATTTAAAAGAGATGCCTTTAGGTATAAAGAATTTTTCAAAGTTAAATAAATTATCATTTAAAAATTGCAAAAATATGAAGATAGTACAAGATGTATTTGAAGGATTATCATCATTAAATGTCTTGAATATGAGTGGATGTGAGCAATTGGAAATGGTACCAAAAAGTTTTGAGCATCTTATATGTCTTGAAGAATTATATTTTGAGGATTGCATCAACCTGAAGAAATTAGATGCAACATGTGCCGATATAAAAGCTTTGAGAATATTATCACTTTTAGGATGTGAGAATTTAGAAGAGATGCCATTGGGATTGAAGAATCTCTCTAAGTTGGAAAAGTTAAACTTTTCAAATTGCAAGAAGCTAAAGATTGCACATGATGCATTTGAAGGATTAATATCATTGAATATCTTAGATATGGATGGATGTGAGTAAGTAAAAGTGGTACCTAAGAGCTTTGAGTGCCTTACATGTCTTGAAGAGTTAAATTTGAATGATTGCATCAACTTGAAGAAACTAGATGCAACATGTATTGGTATGAAAGCTTTGAGAATATTATCACTTTTAGGATGTGAGAATTTAGAAGAGATACCATTGGGATTGAAGAATCTTTCTAAATTAGAAGAGTTGTGGTTTAGAAATTGCAAGAAGTTAAAGATTGCACATGATGCATTTGAAGGATTGACATCATTGAATTTGTTAGCTATGAGTGGATGTGATCAATTAGAAGTGGTACCAAGAAGCTTTGAGCACCTTACATGTCTTGAGGAGTTATATTTGAACGATTGCATCAACTTGAAGAAATTAGATGCAACATGTGCTGGTATGAAGGCTTTGAGAAAATTATCACTTTCAGGATGTGAGAATTTAGAAGAGATGCCACTAGGATTGAAGAATCTCTCTAAGCTAGAATTATTGTGGTTTACAAATTGCAAGAAGCTAAAGATTGTACATGATGCATTTGAAGGATTGATATCATTGAATGCCTTATGTATAAAAGGATGTGAGAAATTAGAAGTGGTACCAAAAAGCTTTGAGCACCTTACATGTCTTGAAGAGTTATACTTGAATGATTGCATCAACTTGAAGAAACTAGATGCAACATTTGTTGGTATGAGGGCTTTGAGAGTATTATCTTTTTTTGGATGTGAGAATTTAGAAGAGATACCATTGGGATTGAAGAATCTCTCTAAATTAGAAAAGTTATGGTTAACAAATTGCAAGAAGCTAAAGATTACACATGATATATTTGAAGGATTGACATCATTGAATTTGTTAGCATTGAGTGGATGTGTGCAATTAGAAGTGGTACCAAGAAGCTTTGAGCATCTTACATGTCTTGAAGAGTTATATTTGAATGATTGCATCAACTTGAAGAAACTAGACGCAATACTTGTTGATATGAAGGCTTTGCGAATATTATCATTTTCAAGATGTGAGAATTTAGAAGAGATGCCATTGAGATTGAAGAATCTTTGTAAGCTAGAAAAGTTGTGGTTTACAAATTGCAAGAAGCTAAATATTACACATGATATATTTGAAGGATTGACATCATTGAATTTATTGACATTGAGAGAATGTGTGCAATTAGAAGTGGTACCAAGAAGCTTTGAGCATCTTACATGTCTTGAAGAGTTATACTTGAATGATTGCATCAACTTGAAGAAACTAGATGCAATACTTGTTGGTATGAAGGCTTTGAGAATATTATCACTTTCAGGATGTGAGAATTTAGAAGAGATGCCATTGGGATTGAAGAATCTCTCTAAGCTAGAAAAGTTAAACTTTTCAAATTGTAAGAAGTTAAAGATTGTACCTGATGCATTTGAAGGATTGACATCATTGAATTTGTTAGCATTGAGTGGATGTGTACAATTAAAAGTGGTAGCAAGAAGCTTTGAGCATCTTACATGTCTTGAAGAGTTATATTTCAAGGATTGCATCAACTTGAAGAAACTAGATGCAATATTTGTTAGTATGAAGGCTTTGAGAATATTATCACTTTCAGGATGTGAGAATTTAGAAGAGATGCCATTAGGATTGAAGAATCTTTGTAAGTTAGAAAAGTTATGGTTTACAAATTGCAAGAAGCTAAAGATTGCACATGATATATTTGAAGGATTGACATCATTGAATTTGTTAGCATTGAGTGGATGTGTGCAATTAGAAGTGGTACCAAGAAGCTTTGAGCATCTTACATGTCTTGAAGAGTTATATTTCAAGGATTGCATCAACTTGAAGAAACTAGATACAATACTTCTTGGTATGAAGGCTTTGAGAATATTATCACTTTCAAGATGTGAGAATTTAGAAGAGATGCCATTCGGATTGAAGAATCTTTGTAAGCTAGAAAAGTTGTGGTTTAAAAATTACAAGAAGCTAAAGATTACACATGATACATTTGAAGGATTGACATCATTGAATTTGTTATCATTGAGTGGATGTGTGCAATTAGAAGTGGTACCAAGAAGCTTTGAGCATCTTACATGTCTTGAAGAGTTATATTTGAATGATTGCATCAACTTGAAGAAACTAGATGCAGTACTTGTTGGTATGAAGGCTTTGAGAATATTATCACTTTCAGGATGTGAGAATTTAGAAGACATGCCATTAAGATTTAAGAATCTTTGTAAGCTAGAAAAGTTGTGGTTTACAAATTGCAAGAAGCTAAAGTTTGCACATGATATATTTGAAGGATTGACATCATTGAATTTGTTATCATTGAGTGGATGTGTGTAATTAGAATTGGTACCAATAAGCCTTGAGCATCTTACATATCTTGAAGAGTTATTCTTGAATGATTGCATCAACTTGAAGAAACTAGATGCAAGACTTGTTAGTATGAAGGCTTTGAGAATATTTTCACTTTCAAGATGTGAGAGTTTAGAAGAGATGCCATTGAGATTGAAGAATCTCTCAAAGCTAGAATTATTATGGTTTACAAATTGCAAGAAGTTAAAGATTGCACATGATGCATTTGAAGGACTGACATCATTGAATATATTAGGTATGAGTGGATGTGAGCAATTAGAAGTGGTATCTAGAAGCTTTGAGCATCTTACATGTCTTGAAGAGTTATATTTGAATGATTGCATCAACTTGAAGAAACTAGATATAATATTTGATAGTATGAAGGCTTTGAGAATATTATCAATTTCAAGATGTGAGAATTTAGAAGAGATGCCATTGGGATTGAAGAATCTTTCTAAATTAGAAGAGTTATGGTTAACAAATTGTAAGAAGCTAAAGATTACACATGATATATTTGAAGGATTGACATCATTGAATTTGTTATCATTGAATAGATGTGTGTAATTAGAAGTAGTACCAAGAAGCTTTGAGCAACTTACATGTCTTGAAGAGTTATATTTGAATGATTGCATCAACTTGAAGAAATTAGATGCAACATGTGTTGGTATGAAGGCTTTGAGAATATTATCACTTTTAGGATGTGAGAATTTAGAGGAGATGCCATTGAGATTGAAGAATCTCTCTAAATTAGAAAATTTGTCGCTTACAAATTGCAAGAAGCTGAATATTATACATGATGCATTTGAAGGTCTGTCATCATTGATTATGCTAGTTATAAGTGGATGTGAGGAATTAGAAGTAGTATCAAGGAGCTTTGAGTGCCTTACATGTCTTGAACAGTTATATTTGGATGATTGCATCAACTTGAAGAAACTAGATGCAACATATATTGGTATGAAGGCTTTGAGAATAATATCACTTTCAGGATGTGAGAATTTAGAAGAGATGCCATTGGAATTGAAGAATCTTTCTAAGTTAGAGAAAATTTAACTTTTCAAATTTCAAGAATCTAAAGATTGCATATGATGCATTTGAAGGAATGACATCATTTGATGCCTTATGTATGAGAGGATGCGAGCAATTAGAAGTTGTACCAAAAAGCTTTGAGCACCTTACCTATCTTGAAGAGTTATATTTAAATTATTGCATCAACTTGAAGAAACTAGATGCAACTTTTATTGGTATGAAGGCTTTGAAAAAATTATCACTTTCAAGATGTGAGAATTTAGAAGAGATGCAATTGGAATTAAAGAATCTCTCAAATCTAGAAAAGTTATGGTTTACAAATTGCAAGAAGCTAAAGATTACACATGATGCATTTGAAGGATTGACATCATTGAATATGTTAGGTATGAGTAGATGTGAGCAATTAGAAGTGGTACCAAAAAGCTTTGAGCATCTTATATGTCTTGAAGAGTTTTATTTCAAGGATTGCATCAACTTGAAGAAACTAGGTACAACATATGTTAGAGTGAAGGCTTTGAGAATATTGTCACTTTTGAGATATGAGAATTTAGAAGAGATGCCATTGGGATTGAAGAATCTCTCTAAGTTAGAAGAATTATGGTTTACAATTTACAAGAAGTGAAAGATTGACGTCATTGAATATGTTAGGTATGAGTGGATGTAAGCAATTAGAAGTAGTACCAAAAAGCTTTGAGCACCTTACATGTGTTGAAGAGTTATATTTGAATGATTGCAACAACTTGAAGAAACTAGATGTAATATTTACTGGTATGAGAGCTTTGAGAATATTATCACTTTCAAGATGTGAGAATTTAGAAGAGATGCTATTGGGATTGGAAAATCTTTCTAAGCTAGAAAAGTTGTGGTTGAAAAATCGTAAGAAGCTAAAGATTGCACATGATACATTTGAAGGATTGACATCATTGAATTTGTTAGCTATAAGTGGATGTGAGCAATTAGAAGTGGTACCAAAGAGCTTTGAGTGCCTTACATGTCTTAAAGAGTTATATTTGAATGATTACATCAACTTGAAGAAACTAGATGCAACATGTATTGGCATGAAGGCTTTGAGAATATTATCACTTTTTGGATGTGAGAATTTAGAAGAGATGCAATTGGGATTGAAGAATCTCTCTAAGTTAGAAGAATTATGGTTTATAAATTGTAAGTAGCTAAAGATTATACATAATGCATTTGAAGAATTGACACCATTGAATATATTAGTTATGAGTGGATGTAAGCAATAAGAAGTGGTATCAAAAAGCTTTGAATACCTTGCATGTCTTAAAGAATTATTTTTGAATGATTGCATCAATTTGAATGATTGCATCAAAAATAATTCTTCAAGACATGCAAGGCCAACTGCAGGACCTACTATGGAGCATGCTGCCACACTAGCTCCAGAACCCGCTGCAGAGCCAATCGCCGTGCTTATTGTGGATCTCGCCAATGGGCTTGATATGGAGCTTGCTATCAAAGCGATTACATTTGCGGCGGACTTTGTCTAAATGCCTCAGAAACTTGTTGTTGCACCTACATTCACAGTGCCTCTTCCAACAAGAGAACAATCAAGAAACAAAAAGAAAAAAAAAAAAAAAAAAAAAACAAGAAATGTGTGGACAACAAAGAAGAAGCAAGAAACAAATACAAGTCAATCAAGAAATACATACCTTCTCAAATTTGAAGAAGCAGTGAGAGAGCTACAAAAGAGCTTCTCAACAATGCAACACCAAAAAGGAGATTGAAATCCTATATTTCTCACATATCTGTTTTTAAAATGGATGAACTTTTGCTATGGATGAAATTTAATTTGAGGATGAAGATTAGTGTACTAGTGGGAGTATTAGTAGAATTATACTATATAGTACACTAGTCTCTTGGTATTAATATAGAATACTATCTACTTTGTATTGACCTTACACCAAGAGTTGTGACTCTTGGTATCACCTTTCTACATACAATATATTATGTATCAATTGATCATATTAATAATAATGTTGTTTCCAACAGAGTCAAGGCATGCTCCATTATCCTGGTGGACTGATTGTCATCGTCTTAAGATCTTGATTTTTTCTCGTCCAGCTGTCGAGCTGATTGTAGTGGCATTGGTGCCAGTTGCTGGACTCAAACAATACCGAATTCTCTTCAGAGCTATCTTGGGAGCTTTTATTGTCGTTGTCTCCTTGAGGCAGTTGAAGGCTTGGTTCCCTTTGAGTGAAAAGCCAAGTGTGGCTGATGCAATTGATTGACTATTGCATTCCACAAATAATTGCGGCTTTGTTCCTTGCTGAATCAGCTCTACACTTCAACGATCCAAGACTCCACTGATCGTTTGGGTGGTATAAATCTAAACCTTCAGCTGTTTTTTCTAATGTATTAGAGTTAGAGAGTCTTTTACAGTCAAACAACAATCTCGTTAGGTAGAGTGGACTTGAATTTGTTTCAGTTGTAGTGCTCATTATTAAGAGCTCAAAAAAGAATGGTGGCTGTTTAAAAATCAAAAAAAGAGAAGAAGATGATGATTAGTTAACAGATTGGTATCAAGAGTTGGTTTAATGTGAAGCGGTGTTGCCAAAGCTGCGTGAACAAATGGTTGTTGTAAATCCAAAGGTCGTTGAAATTGGGTATTGAGCTCGTCCAAGAGCTTCCTGCAGGAACTTGAGAGGGATCGAGAATTGATGTGGTTGCGTAACTTGAGGGTGATTCTTTAACAAGGAAGTGATGCACATTTTGGTAGTCTCTGCCTGCTAGTCAATAATTGGGCTGTGACGGTGGCGAACTTTGAGGAGGGCATTGTTAGATGACAAGCAAGCCCACATTCTCGCAGTAGGACTGCAGCAACTACTCCAGGGATCTGACTTTGTGACCTGGTGCCGGTGTTGTTCCTTTGCTTTTAAGGTGTTGTCAACATTTTCTTCCGCATGGTGAGGTTCCACATGATGAATTATTACGTTAGATGAATTTAGACGGATGATGTTTGGTTTAGATGAAGGAAGTTAGAATTTGAAGGAAATCAATTTGGATGAATATTTTAATCAAGGTTGAATTATTATAGATGAATATTGTTGTTATTTGTAGATGAATTTCTATTCTTAGATGATACTTTGTGAATGGATGAAAATTAAGATAAAAACATAAATTAAAAGAAAATAAAACATTTTATTTTTATTTTTATTTGTATGATTTGATATTGCAAGTAAAATTATAGAGATGGTTATATTTTTTAAAGGAATTAATTTAGAGAAGTTAAAAAGAGAATGCTTAAGATTTAAGCAATTGGTACAATAGATAAAATTACATAGATAATTAAATTTTTGTAAACTAAAATAAACTTCCACTTAGTGGTGGTTTAGTTTAGCATACAATTTGGTAAAATTCACATTATTTGGAATGATATGATGAAGCATTTTAAAGTTTTAGTATTGTAAAGAATAGTTTTAAAAACTTAATTTTTATTATTTAAAGAAGATAAATTTTAATTGAAATAAAATAATTAATTGAAATAATAAGATTTTATAGATTTCTCAAAATATTTTAATGATTAAAAGAAAGATATCTTAGATTTTATAAAGTTTTTTTTTATTGTATAATATTTAAATATATCAAAATAAGACTTATCCTTAGAAATTAAAAAATAAATAAAAATAATAATTTAAATATATATATATATATATATATATATATATACATAATAATTATCTTAATATAAAAATATATCATCTTTTGATTCAAAAACCTCTAAATTATATCTGATTATTTATTTATTTTAAAAACCTTTTAATAATATATAAAACTTTTTTTCCACAAAAGTCAATATAATGATATCATTCATAATTATTTTTGGATTAACATAGCATCTATTTTATTTAAATTATTTACTTCATTTAATTTTAGATTAATATTATAATTAGTATAATATATATTTTGTTAATTTGTCATTTTGTAGCAATATATATTATTAGGTAATATTTTTAACACGGTTATATATATATATATATATACTAAATAATATAAAAAATTCTAATATATTTATTATACAAGCTTAAAATATCATTTATAATTATTAACATATTATATAATATAGCCTTATAGAAATATTAAATAGTTTAAATTAAATCTTATAAGATGTTTTTATCTAAAAATATATTTCAATTAAAAAACATCTATATTCTAACAATCGATTTCAATACATATAATTTTTATTTTTATTTTTCATAAATTTTTATTCCAAAAATATTTTTTATTCATTATTTAATTTAAAAATTAAATAATATTAAAAAATACTATACCGTTTTACCATTATTATTTCATTTTACTATTATTTTTTATCATCTTATTTTCTCTATTTAGTTGAGATGGTGAATTCTTAATTCTAAAATAATAATAATGGTATTTAATTTAATATTAATTAATTTTTTATAAAATATATTTTTTATTAATAATACTACTATAATATATTTTAATATCACCATTTTTCAAGAGATTTTAAATATGCCTTATTATTCAATACCACCAAAGAAAATATAAAAATTATTAATTTTATATTTTTAATAAATCCAATGAGATCTTATAATTATAAGTAAGATAGATAGAAAGTCTAGAATTAATAAATAAAAAATAGAATATATTATTTTTTTTACAAAATAGATTTATTTTTTAAAATATTTTTGATAAGAGTTTTAATAATTTTAATAAAAAAAACCTAATCATCTTAAGAAGACTATTTTGATACTAAATGATATTAATAAAGATTCAAATTTTAGTTAAAAAAATATAAGATTTTATCTAATTATATTTTAAATTAATCAGGTCTAACTTATAAAATTAACTTATTTATGAATTTAGTACAAAAAATACACTTACAGTGTTTAAAATTATAATTGTGTGAATTATTATAGAAAATAATAAATTTTATTCAAGGATCTAATGTTAGTAATAGAAGGCAATGAATTTATAAAATTGTTTGAATGCAACACTTTTATAATTGTCTTGTTTATCATTAGAATTGCTAAAAGTCGAGGATGTTTAGAGAATCAAAGTTAAAAATCAAAGAGCAACTTAACTTGAAAGAATTCTATGATACTTGTATTTCAGTATTAAATAATATATTTAGAAAAAAAAAACAATAATAATAATAATAATAATAATAATAACAACAACAACAACAACAACAACAAGATTCTTCTTCTTGCAAAAGATATAGTTGTAGAAAAAAAACAAAAATGGTAGTAGTAGAATAATTGGCACATACATATACATTTACCATAATAATTATTGATATGATTAGGTAGAAGTAGGTAAATATAGATTAATTTCATAAAGTCTTCTAGAGAAGCTTCCTAAAAGATTCACAAACGTGGTTTTGATTTTAGATGTGTTTGTAGGTTAGAAACTTTGTCAACAAGTTAACCACATGTTGGTAGCTTGTAGAATAAGTTAATTCCATGTAGTAGCTTGTGGAACAAGCTAACTATGTGGTGTATACATAAATAATTTGTCTTGCAAGTTAAGACATGTTGCAAGTAAAGTCAACATATGTTGAAGGTCCTATAGAATATTGCGACATAGCTCTTAATTAGAGAGTATATATGGAGTAAGAGTGAAGCCTTCTTCACTCTTGTCAATACCTTTCTAGTCTTTAGTCTTGTTTCAAGACTTTCTAGTCTTCTTATATTTGGCAATAGCAATTCTAATTTAATATTATATCACCATTTGAGTGACTTTCTAGTTTTCTTCAGTGCCACAAGAGTGTATTGAGGATTATCTTTCTTTGAGATTCACGTTCTTGACAATTTGACAAGAGTGCTAATATATTATTTCTACCTTATTTTAGAAGTGAGTAGATTATCTCACTTCTATTGTTGTATTTTAAAGGTTGTAGACTATCCAACTTTAAATAAAAAATCTTATTTTCTAATACTGATCTTTTTTTTAAAGATAGTGGATTATCTTTCTTTGTGGAAATTTTTATTAGAGGTTGCGGATTATCCTCCTCTAATATAATTTTTTGGATTTGTTTGAGTTGTCTATGGAAGGAAAGATTATGGATGCTACTCTTAATGGAAGTGAGAATAGATTTACAACTATTGCAGATTTTTAAGAATTTGTCAACACTTTTAGGGCGAAAATTTCATGCATCACCAACATCAATCATTGGAGCACTACTTCTATACGTATTGAAGAAGTGTAGAATCTATGTTAAGAAGTTGTGCAGTTGAAGGAAACATATCATTTAACTTCACAACCAAATTTAGGGAGTCTTGTTTCTTCAAGCTTAAGAGAGGTAAGAATTAAAATGCTTGAGAAGTTTGATAGAAGAAGATCAAAATTTTGAAGTTTTTTGCAATAAGTCAAGCTCTATCTAAGATTACAACCTTTCCAATACCCCGATGGATTTACTCAAGTTAGATTCATATGCACACTTCTATTACGAAGTACTCTCTCTTGATTTGCACCTTTTATGGAAAAAGATTCATAACTCCTTTATGATTTGAATTCATTTCTAGAAGTGTTTACGACCATATTTGGAGAAAGTGATCAAGAAAGAGTAGAAGAGATTTAACTCTTATTTTTATAATAAGGATCACAATCAACCACCACATATGCCACTAAATTCTAAAACCTTGCTTACAACGTGGAAAGGAATGACAAAGCACTTATTAATCAATTTTGATATGGATTGAAGGATAGCGTCAAAAATTTGTTATTAACAATGCCGAAAGTAAAATCTTTGGAATAATTTATTGCTCAAAGTATTGCATGCAATAATCGATTATTTGAAAGGTATTAAGAATAAAAATTTGGCTGGAGAAGAATCGGATATGTAATGGCAGTAATTCCCAAGTTTTCTGAAACATATTTATTAAGGTCAAAACCAATGCAAATTGATACAATACGTTTTAAACCTCTCATGGAGTAAGAAAAGACTTGATGTTGCTAAGAAGGTTTGTATTTATATTGTGGAGAAGCTAAGTATATTACTCAATATTATCCAAAGAAGTAACGCAATTATAAAATGAGGACCAGACTTACCAAAGAAATTAATGTGTTGGATAATGAGTTTCTTGAGCTATAATAGGGATTGTGCGGCTAGAATCATGTGCAATATCTAATAAAGGTCATATTCTCTACTCAGACCCTTCACCTTGTTTTATAATAGATGTTTTTTTAGGACCTAAAAATCACAAAGTCTTTGCTTTATTAGATTCAAGAGCCTCAACCTATTTTATAGACAAAGATTTTGTCAAAAATCAAAAAATATCTTTAATCAAGAAAATTAAATCCGTATATGTAAAAATCATAGATGGTCGTTTGTTGTCTTTTGGAAATATTATACATGAGATTTTTTCTTTAAATATAGTAATTAAAGTTTATAATAGTATATTACTATTTAATATAATAAGATCTTTCTCCAATCTGATTATTTTAGAATTATCATGGCTAGAAAAATATAATCCTCAAATAGATTGGATTTTTTATAATCTTAATTTTTTTGATAGTATAATTCAAGGTCACATTAGTGAAGTAGAAGTACATAAGTGTAGTACATCCAAATCTTTATTGGTAGGTGCAAGAGCTTTTATGCATACTGTAAAAAAATGATCATCTTTTGCTATATATGCTATATATATTTTTAATGGTGAAAAAACATCAAGTAGTATTCTTGACCAATATCAAGAATTTTAAGATATTTTTTTTAAAAAAAATATAGATATTCTTCTAGAGCATCGATTCTATGATTGTTCAATTGATCTACAAGAAAGAGCTCAACCACCATTCAGACCAATTTATAACTTATCGTAGAATGAGTTGATTGTATTAAAAAAGTATATTGATGAAAACTTTGTAAAGAACTTCATATGTCATTTTAAATATCCAATCGGAGCTTCTATCTTATTTATGAAGAAGAAAGATGGATCTCTACAAATGTGTATGGATTATTGAGGACTCAATAAGATCACCATCAAAAATAAATATCCTTTGCCTTTGATTTCAGGACTTCTTGACCAACTCAATCAAATAAAGATCTATACCAAAATAGATCTATAAGGAGCCTATAACTTAGTTCATATAAAAAAAAAAGATAAATAGAAGAGTATTTTTTGAATTAGATACGGATATTTTGAATATAATATTATACCTTTTGGACTTACAAATGCATTGGCCAC